CGAATTCGCAGAGTGGGTCGTTGTACATTCAAAATAGAGTCAGTTGTTTGACTCGCTGTCATATTCAAAATCGAATTCGCTCAGTGGTTCGATGTACATTAAAAATGGAGCCAACATATATGCTCCCTATGACACTTTAAATCGAGTCTGCTGTATGGTTTACTAATTCATCAAAACGGAACCCGTTGATTGACTCTGTGGTTCACTCAAAATTCCGCTTGTTGATTGTTTCATTGATTCACTCAAAATCGAGTTTCTTTATTGGCGCATTGGTTACATTGAATTGACTTGTTGATTGGTTCACTACTATGTTGCATAACATACACGTACGGGGTCTTTTCGTACAAAACTTACAGGTAATATCTGTACGGGATCTGTACGAGAACCTGTACGGGATCTGTACGAGAACCTGTACGGGAACCTTTACGTCTTGTACGTGAACCTTTACGTCTTGTACGTCCCCGTACGAAAAAGCTAGGTTGTTTCATCGGACGTCCGGGCGACCCCGGGACTTCCGGGTCGTCCGACAGGACCACCGGACCGGTGGTCCGGTGTCCGACGGAGGTCCGGGCTGAGCGAAAAATAGGGGCCGGTCGTCTGAGGGCCTGCTGGGGGGAGGGTACTGTGGTGGTGTAGGTGGGGGGTCGTGCTGGAACTTAGTCACCACAATCCGAGGCCAGGAGGGCCTACGAAAAATGAAAAAGTAAAGGCCCAACCTTGACCGTCTGATCGATCCGATCGACGGCCCAGATCGAGCAAAATTTAAATTTGAATTTCAAATTTGAACGGGGGGGGGGGGTACCGCCGACCTGAGTCCGCCGCCGCCCTAGCCCTGGCCTCGCTTCCCTATTCCAGCCGGCCAGTCGACGACGAGCGAGTGTATGCGCTGGCGAGGACACGACACTCTAGCCCCTACATCTGCACCGCCATCTCCAGGTAAGTGTGTGTGCCTCCGCTACCTCCTCCTCCACCTCCTCCTCTACGTCGTCCTCCACCTCCTTCGGGTCGTCCTCCGGTTSATCTTCGTCTTCGTCTTCKTCTTCTTCTT